ACCTCTGACAGGCAATAAATCCGTGGCAAACAATCATTGTTCCTCCTAGAGATGGGGTAATTTGGCTTGCGGGATACGGTGCTCCATGGTGTCGCAGAATAGACGATTATCGGGGTGCAAGTGCTCGTTCATCGAGTATGGAATTATTTTTCGGGAAAACGGTAACGGGATATCGGTGGGAAAATTGCTGGTGATGGATATTTAGGCGCGATTTCTGTACCATGTTTTCGGTTAAAATAAAATTGGTAGAGAAAGAAAGACAGGAAAGGAGGTTTTGCTGGGAAGAAAAATAATTTGGGAATAATCTAGAGATATAGAGATATAGAAATTTAGAGATCGATATGTTCAGGGATTATCGATACATTTTAGTAGATCAGCGGCTATTAACTGACGACGGCCATTAAGCACAATTTTGAGGTTATCTTCAACAAATTGGAATAAACCTGGACAAGCAGTCAGAAACTTTAGATGAAGATTAATATCTCGCGATATTATTCCTTTAAAATTTAGAGATCTAGAGATCGATATGTTCAGAGACCGTTGACAGATGTTGGTCGATTATCTGATCAGCTGACTGACCATCATTAAGCACAATTTTGAGGTTATCTTCAACAAATTGGAATAAACCTGGACAAGCAGTCAGAAACTTTAGATGAAGATTAATATCTCGCGATATTATTCCTTTAAAATTTAGGGATCTAGGGATCGATATATTCAAAGACCATTGATAGATGTCTATAGATCGTCGCTAACTTACCATAACGCAGCAGAATTTTAAGGTTATTTTCAACGAAATGGAATAAACGTGGGGAAACATTGTGAAACTCTAGATGAAGATCATCGAGATATTATTCCTCCAAAATTAGTTATACTAATCTTCTTTTGTTTAAATAATATCTTACAATTTTGAATATTGCAAATAATAGGTATACTTCTAGGGATATTCATGTCACTATATACGCTTTCAAGATATCGCCGTTTAAAAGTTACTGTGCATCCAATATTCAATTAAATTGAATAATTTTTTTCAAAAACAGGGTTCGTATTTTTCTTTTCTTTTTCTTTATTAATACATAAATTATATATTTCTTGACCCAATCAGTAAATAAAATAGAATTTTCCGAATTCGTCATATAATACAATTTTTCTTGCAATGATAATCACAGATATATTTTGCGACCGTTTAGTATATGTTGCGAAATTTAATTAATTTTTTCAAGATGCAAGGTTCGTTATATTTCTTTTTTTTACAAACACACACGTCACATATTTCGTGACCCAATTATCCCCTTACCAGTTCATCATCAGTTTTTCATGCTGAACCACACAAAGACGAGCTACTTTCGTCACGCGAGTAAAATCATACTTAACCATCCTTCACACGAAATTCATATTAATTCTAAACCCTTGCATAATTTTACACTAAACCTAATAAACATATCGCAACTATCTGCAACTGGACTCTCATTTAACATCGTTAAACCGTACTATAAGAAATCAATGGACGAGCAAGAATTTTTTGAACGAATCTCGTCACACGCTGCCTTTGGAATAAAAATTTCAGAATTCCTTAGAATTACGATCTCAAATCTGTAATTATTCGATATTATCCCGATTTCTGAAGATCAGAGAGTAAGATTGGGAACTGAGAATCGTTGGTGCATAGTGTGCACGAATAACTATGAATCGGCGGGCTGTTGGCGAAACGGAAACGATGAACTTTCGCGGCCGGTCTCTATCGCTATCGCAAATGGTGCACGTTGAAACATCGTTCGACTGTTGTCACCTGCGTTGTTCTGACCGAGCTGACGCAAGCACCCGAGCATACATTATCTAACGAAACTTTAATGCTCGGTCATCCATCCAATGACGATGACCTTGCACCTTATCGACGGGGAAACTATCGCCGGCAATTTTCGCGATGCGTGTCGGCCATTACCTCAGGCTCCTTGCAGCGCCCCCTATCCAGCCAAATTCCGCGCAGACAAAATGTCGGTAACAGCTCCTTCGAATCTGAAAAATAGGTATCGTTACAGGAATATCGCTGTGGAATTTGTTATTCCACCGAGAACATCGATGTGAATACAGCTTAGGCGAAATAGGAGTAAGGCCTGCTTGATTTACTCGAGAAACGGTTCGGTTTTCCAGTGACCAGAGGAACAATTAGGTGTCCCGTTTTCGATGATTCACCCGAGGCAAGATAATTATACTTAACTAGACGAGGTAGGAGGTCCCGCGATAGTCTGCGGCTAACTAACGCGTTTTCCAAAGATTCGGACAGTCGAAATAGGTAATTATTGAAATAGGGAAACGGGATTTCGAGGATTCGAATGTACAATAAAGAGCAAAACCGAATGTATACTGTGTTGATATTTGAACAGGGATAATTTTGCGAGCATAAATAGTGTAATAATATTCGTGGGGGCAATATAAAGGGCAAGGCCCCAAATTGAATTTCTATTTAGAAACTTTGGAATAGAAGACAGAGAATTTTTCATTTAGAAAATTGTACAAATTGAAACATTGTGATTTTCTTTTTAATCTTTTTGGGGGCAGGGGTCCAAATGGGCAAGAATCGAATCACTGGAGTCTTCAGTTTTCAGAAATATCATGGAATGCGATTTTTTCTTTCCAATTGATTTCTTTTGGAATAAACTGAACTATTTTCTGTCAAATTATGAGAGGGATTATTTATTTATTTACTTCCAAGGATTGTTTCTGAATCCCTTCTTCTCGTACAATTTGATTTAATCCCATGCACTGATTTAGAATTTAGAATTCGAAATTCTGCTCGAGAAACCATATTTTCTTTTCGAAAAGAGGAAAATTATAAGTATCTGTAGGTATATCTATGGCTATAATAGTTTCACTTATCTCTTCATCTTTATCGGTGAAAACAAAAGCAAATAACAAACTGCAGATTACTATCTGCACAGTGGCGCCAGTGTGGAACAAAGGGTTGACTTTTTGTCTCTTCCTTGAAAAGATATCACCAAGAATCATTAATCCTTATACTACAATCACGACTCTAGCTGCACTTGCAATTAATCTAAAAAATCCCTAACTAATATTCATGCACAGTAACTAATTAAAGTCAACCCTCTGCTCTCCTTTGATGTCGAGTCTAACTCGTGATTCGTGTCAAATTGACCAAAATTATAGTATACTAATTAATACGATATAATAAAATAGCATACGCAATCGTGACCCTATTTGAATAAAAATTAGTACAACTTTTGTCAAATGTAATGTAATATGTAAAACGTCCGGAATGATTCATTCCGACCCCTGCTGTAGTTCTGATGTGAACACGTCTCAGGTCGGGATGCAAAATAGTTAAAAATTGTAAAATATTTTCACGATTTCGCGATTGACTAAAGTTGTATACCTCGTCGATGTTCCATAATTAAATATCGCTAAGATGCTGGAATAAAGAAAAAGAAAATTTGTGGCGCCGAGGTGAGGCAACCCCGAGTAACGACGCGCGAGCATCGAAACTGCGCGTAAAAAGCCGGGCGCGGAAGCAGCGAGCAAAGTTGACTCGCAACACGCCACCCCTTTACGTAATTCCCGTTGCAGCGCACGGGAACGGTGCACCGTTTCCCGGGGCTGCAAAGAGGGAAGAATCGCGCTGACGCGTGGAGCGCGCGCGCGCGCGCCAGCGTATCGTATGGTCCGGAGAAGCGCGCCGTCCCCCTCGTGTGGGTGGCTGCGCGCGCTCGCTCTCCCATCCGCACGCACACACGCGCGGATAGTGTACGTGCGCGCGTCGCCGGCTGATGATATAGCGGCGTTGGCATAGGTACGGACCGCGGTGGTGGGGGTAGATAGAGCGCGGAGAGAAAGAGAAAGGCCCGACGGCGGGCGGTGGGGTGGGGTGCGCGTCGCGGGAGGGGGCAGCAGACAGGAGCCGAGAGAACGATGAGAGGCGAGAGAAGGAAGCACCTGGTGCGCGATAAGGATGCTCGGACTGCGTTCGGTCGGAGTAGGGATAGAGAGGGAGCGAGATACAGGTGAGAGGGTACACCACGCTTCTCCGGTGGAGAACACATAGGTACGAGCGACGTGACCGGGCGGGAGAGGCCCCGGGGTGGTGGGGATGACCGCAAGAGTCAGGAGAAGCTTGGACAAGGACGGATGATGGGATGGACGGCGTGCGCCATGCGACGGAGAGGGAAAGGTATAGTAAAGTCGGGTAGATGATACGTAGCGTTGGATAGAGAAGGAAACGAGAACAGGTAGATGCTACGTACTGTCTAACGGCGACGGCGTGTAAGGGGAGTGGAAGGAGAAAAGGGGACAGGTAGACACGGTTATCGCGTGAGGGAGAAGGATGTATAGAGCCTCACCGGGTGGAAGAAGAACGGGGAGATAGCGTGTATTATTAAACGGAAAAGAAGGAATACAGAGAGGAAGAGAGTACCGGTGTTAACACACAGGGGACTGGGACCGAGAGTAGCGATCGCGCGACGGTAGAAGGGCGCGACGGACAGTAGGTAGGAATAGGGGAAGAGTAGCGCGGCGCACCGAAAAGACGAACGGGCGAGAGCGAGAGGGCGGCGCGGCGGTGGTGGGGTGGTCGGGCCCGGTGGGGTGGGGGGTCGGGCGGTCGAACGGAGCCGAGCGGCGTCGCGGTGAGGGGAAGGGGGACAGGTAGGAGGGATGATGAGGCTCTTGCGCGCAGGCTGAGAGAAATTGTCAGAAGCACCGTGTCACTTCTCGGCGGTGAGTCGGTCCGTTGTGACCTGTTCTCGTGTGGACCTTGTGTTCCTCGTCGTATCCCCCTCTCGCACACCGTCACGTCGCCCAGTCTATGAGCACGCTCGTCGTAATCGGTTCGTCTATGTCCGTGATACACGATACGTATCCGCTGGTAGCGGCCTCTTTTACGAATCCAGACGAGTCCCTTATTCGTTCGCGGTCCTTGGTCGCGCGTGGATGTGACAATCAGGAGCAGTAGCCCAGTGTATCCAAGCGGATTAAAGAGCCGACCGGAAGAGGTGGTGGTGGTGGTGACTGTCGAATTATGGTGTCGCATGGAGGAACTGTACGTGGAGGAGTGTCGTGAGACGTAGTCGAGGCACGGAGGCTGACAGGACGTTGCCAACGTCGCTATCGTACAACGTATATTATTAATCCGCGTGACGTTCCTTCCATCGCTCGGACAGAAGATCCACCGAAAGACTATAAATCCTCGATATCCAATTATTCTCTCCGCATCGTCCGCGAGTAATATCGACGCGAGTTGGAAAGTTGACCGGGTCACGGTTGTAGCGTGGAATATTTAGAGTAGAGAGGAAACAGTGGCAATTCGCGCTTGGTTCCAGTGTGGCCCCATGGCGGAACAGCCTCGTGTTAAGTGCAACGTACGTTTATTTGGATGTTAAGTGCCGGGACCGACCTTGGGACTCCATGAGTCGACCACAACGCTGACGCTGAGGGAAGCATGGATTACTCGACGAAAGGTACGTCTGTTCTTCTTCCTGTTTCGTGGTCAGGTGACGGCCTCTCTCCACAGCCGTCGATAAGGGATTTCTCCTCCAACCGACCCACCTCTTCCGCTTTTTCGTTTGTCCCCTTGATCCATCAACACCAAATATCAACATCAAATATAGTGTATCGAATATAGGTCCAAAATCTCAGCGTAACTCAACTTGGAGCAACTCAAATGCACAGGCCCACTGTCGGAACCCTTTCTTCCTCCTCTTATACTCATTACGCGTATTGAAAAATCTTCAAGAGATACAAAATAACTTTCCAACTTATCACGTTCATCTATACGTTCATCTATAAACACTCTGTTCTCGTTGATCCAGGATCTATTAATCCTGGATAATCTCCCAGGTCGAGTCTCTCGATCTCGTCGAATAATATTTATCAGGCGGCTAAAATCTCAAATTATCCCATTTTCTATCGTCAGTAGATACTCGATCCAATCCTCAAATCGCTCAGCAAATCATCGGGAATGGTGGAAATTAGCCACATCACGTTGCACTTCCACCGCCATTTAATTCCATCTTTTGTGGGCCCGGATTCCGCCTAACCGGAGCAGAGATCAAAAGTCGTCCATCCCGGAAACGCTTTATTTTCGTTCGGTGTTCTTCGAAGCGGTCTCAAGGAGAACGTTATAAAACTGGGTGAGGGGAAGAAGCAAACACAGGGACATCTTTTCCCTAGACAAATTCGTCCGATTTTTTCTCTTTCGTCGCTCTCGTGGCCGCGTCTAACGAGGCGTCTATTGTTTTTTCGGATCGACCTAACGCGGCGTTAAAGCCGATTTATCGGAGGCCTGGGAATATTTAGGCTGAAAGGCAACAGGATGCGAGGAGACGACCGAAATTCGATGGCTAATGAGCAAGCCGAGTGGTACAACAAAGAAGAAGGAGAGAAAGATATTATCGTTCGTGACCGTTGCGCGTCTCTTTCTCTCTCTGTCCCTCTTTCTCGATTAACACACAAAATATCGATGCCTATCGGTGTCTCCATTAAGTCTACGTGTAATGGGATTTTCGTTTCAAGAACGCGGCGCACGTTCTCCATTGAAATTCGCGTGTCAATGTTACGCGAGACTCCGTTTCGTTGCTCGGTGAAAATGCTTGATAAATGATAGAGCCGCGTGTTCCTTGCTTTCTTCTGGGTAATTGCTCGATATTCGATCCGTGGCTGAAATTCAGATACGAGTGTTTATCTTCTTATCTTTTCTTCCATTTCCGTCCATTTCCTTTGAAAATTCCAGTGATTGCCGAGTTCCAGCGAGTCAAAATGCTGTGAATCTCGCGGATGAGATCTTGCCAACGCTTTGCAGGATCTTTTGGAAGTTATGGTGAAGGTGGTCAGACTGAGATTTCACGTGGAAATTCATCAGAAATTGGAAACTGCTCGTTCTTTGAATTTCCGATTAATCGGAGCATGGAGCACTGACTAGTGTCAGCGATAAACGCGATTAGGCGAATCGAGGATAATGGTCACTAGGTTTGCGGATTTTATTATCCCAATTGGTAAATTTGAAGGCGAATTGTGTATTTTATAGGAATTTTTTTCGATGATAGTCTTATGTAAGCTAGGATTAAAGAGAAGTGTGAGGAGGGAATTCTTTTGGTGTTTGGAAAAGCAACGTCTTTGGATACAGACATGTCTTTTGACCAGGCTGATTGATCTACGAAGGAAGCTTGAAGCTTCGAATGATGTTGCACAATTTAATCGATAGATATTCGCGAAAGAAGCATCGAACTCTCCAACTAAAATTTTTATCTCTAACGTAGTTTATCTTGACATCGATCGACTATACTTGTTCCTCCGAAAATTCGTCAAAGGGTACACGGTACTTCTAATCTTACTCAACGCCCAATCGTGTAATCATTTTCTTGCAGTACAAGGCCAAACTTTAGAGGCTCTAGTGAATCTAGGGGAAATGGAATGAGAGGATTATGGAAATTTCACTGAAATCTGACAGAGATTTCATAGAAATCTCACTAATTTCACGAAAATCTCACAAAAAGCTCAGAAATTTCACAAAAATCCAATAAAAGCCCACAAAGATCCCGCAAAAGCTCGCAGATTTCACAAAAACCCATAAAGGCTCACAAAGATCCCACAAAAGCTCGTAAATTTCACAAAAATTCCACGAAGGTTCACAAAAGCTCGCAGATTTCACAAAAATTCCACGAAGGTTCACAAAAGCTCGCAGATTTCACAAAAATCTCACAAAAAGCTCAGACAAATTTCATAGAACTTTGCAGAAATCTCACAGAAATTTCACAAAATTTCTGAGAACCTCGCGGAATTTTCATAGAATTTTGCAGAATTTCGCGTAGTTTCTTCCCCAGATCGGCGCCATAGTCGGCGATGTCTCGGTCGGACGAAAGCAGAGGGAAAAATTCGCGTCGGCAGTACGAAAGCTTACGAGATAACGAGATTACGCGGATCGCCGGTGACGCAATCGTACCTCTGGTATCCTACCAGAGCCACTCAGTTTCCAGGAAGCCTCGTATCGATTTTTTCGGCGTCGCTCGATACACACGCGGTTCGACCGGTGGGAAGAGGAGAAAAGGCGCGGACGATCTCGCGACGACGCTGACGTGTCTGAATTCTAATCTATCGACGAGTATCGACAGGCGAGAGAGAAAGAGAGAAAGAGAGAGAGAGAGGAGCAGCCGACATGCCAGTCCAAGTCCACGTAGATAAGGACCTGAACTTCCCCTTATCTGGAAATTATCTTTCGAACCGCTCCCGTGAAAGGACTGACGATCTTCGAGGATGGAACTGGAGTATCTTGCGCAGCAATATGTTCCATTTTTCTTTCCAAATTCTTTTTAATTCCCGCTCTAAGTATAAACTTAACCCTCTATCCTCGAGAGGCTACTGCTGGATGTCTTCGTTCAGGAAAATTCTGAAAATTTTTTGATTCCATATTAAATTTAGAATTAGAAATTAGAATGGATGAACGTGGAATATTGGGGCAAAGAGGATTTGTAGATTAATTTCTTTTATTTCCTATCTGTTTCCTAAATTAATATAACAAATATCGTTGAAATTACAATAGATGGACGTGGAATATAAGGACAAAGAGGTTTTGTGGATTAGTTCCTTTTATTTCCTATTTTCTTCCTAAATTAGTATTAAAAATATCGTTGAAATTAGAATGGATGAACGTGGAATATTAGGACAAAGAGGATAGATTAATAGATTAATTTCTTCTTATACTATTCTTTTTCCAAAATCAATATAAAAATTATCGCTGATTTTTCCGAAGTAATTGACGAGAGAATTGGAAAGAGTAAAGGGTTAATAAATATATTGGATTCAGTTTGAGCAAGATATTTAAGTCTCCTCTTATCTGTTGACTCACTGTGAAGCTGGAAATTTTGTGGAAAAATCCGCTCCATTTCGACTCCGAGAATCTTCCGAAATTAAATGACCAATACCTTCGATTTGAAAGAATCGTTTAGTAAATCGCACACCGGTAAGTACATAAAATAGTTGGTAATACGAATAATCGAATAATTATCCGCCATTATGATAAACTCTGTGAAAAGAATTAATAATAGAGTTTGATATTTAACGTTGCCTGATTAATTTCGCCTTGCCGATTGATAATAGATTTAAATTCGGTTTTAAATACAATTAATATCTCGAGGAATCGTTCAGATTTTATTCCCAGATACCATCATTCCGAATATTATTCCGATAACATTCGGCAATTAATTAATACGCAGATTAAATAATTTCCTCGATAAATAAATACCGAGCCGGGGTAAAATGATCAGAAAAATAAAATAAAATCTCGAATTATAAATTGATCCAGAAAACATCGCGTAGATCGAACCAACAGCTTTTTCAATAGCAAGATTCTGCAGAGTCGACGGAATCGATAACGAACCTTTGTTTTCGCCTAATCACGAGCGCGTGTCCGTGATATTGCGTATGTTGGAAATTCGTCCAATCGTGGGTAGATCATTCACCGACCATAAGAAGGTTTAAAAGGCTACGGATAAAATTCGCGCGATTTTTTTCTGTGGAAACTTTCAGGAGCTTTTCAGGAGCTTTTCAGGAGCTTTTCAGAAGCTTCGAGCGGGGTTAAAAGGCGAGAAAAGCGCGTTTTCATGGGGTTGGTTGGTGAAAGGCGAATTAGGGCGTGGCGTGGAAAGTCAACCGCTCCCTTTTCTCACCCTCCAGACTCTCACCCTCGAACCAAACGTTCCAATTAACCATAGCTCCGATGGTCGCTCGAGAGTGTCGTTCCGTTGGCTTTCCCCGCATCGAAGTCTCCGGAAGTGGGAATTTAAAATCGGAAATAATTATTGAAACATAGAATTTTTAATTGAGGGGGGGAAAAAGGAACGATTTTTTTAGAGATTGGTAATTTTTCGAGCATACAATTGCGTTTATAGTAATAATTTATAGTATTAAATTGACGACGAGTTTATGGGTTTTTGTGGTGTTAATGGTTATTTCGCGAGGGGCTCGGTTTTGTAATGAGAATCGTGAAAATTAGGTGAGTCGATGGTATCTCGTTGGTAATTTAGCGGTGGCGATTTTTAAATTCAGGTTTATCCTAGACTATAAATTATTCATGGTCTCGGATAGACGCCGTGACTATTTATAAAGGACTCTAGGAATTGGAATGTTTCTCTAGGAACTGGGAATCTAGGAAATCTGCGAAGGAGCTTCTTGTTTGTCGTATTTCGTTTTGAAGTCTCGTATTTTGTCCTCGACGAAGGTACATAGGAACCATGAACCGTGACACCATTACCTATTTTCTTAAATATTTCGTCTTTCGAATTTTATCATCGTTATGTCGCAGATCTATGCGTGCAATTGCTATACCTGGATGATGAATTCTGATAGAATCTTTTTTGGTTAGAATAATTGCAAATGGAAAGGAAAATTTAAATTCGTTATAAATCCAAATTAAAAAGTTTATAGCAAATATTATAGGATTATTAATCATTCTCATTCGAAGAAT